GAGGTGAACCTGGCCGAGGTCCGACCTACCGGGAAGCTCGGTGGGGGCCGATGTGAGCTACTGTCAGCGGCGTGATTATCGGGTGTAGCCGTCGGTTCTGAGATTACCGGGTGTAACCGTCGCGAGATTAGCGGGACTACCACCCATAAGTAGAGGACTTCACTCCACGATCAGGTACGATGATTTCTGACCTCGAACTAAACTGGGAATCCGACCTGTACTGACTTGATCGTCGGAGTGCTCACCTTTTTGTGCAGGTCCGCCCAAGTATTCAGATCGGTCCGGAGGCCGAGTTCGAGCTACAATCTGAAATACACTGTTGTGCATATCCTTGCATAAACAATATATATAATATATTTTTATATTTCAAAGGTTGTTCGAGATAATTTTAATTATTTTGTACTAAACTACAATTACGACTAAATGTGATTTTTTGTAATTAAGAGATTAAAAAAAATTCAATGCCGCTTGAACGGTAATACTAATATTATTGTTTTGGAAAAGAATATTCAATAAAATAAAATAAAAGTATTTGAAAATGAAATATAGGGAGCGGGGATGTTAACGTCCGTGAACTTTCCACGGCGGCGTAAGAGTACCCCTGGGGGAATATGCTATTATCCATTTTAAGATTTTTTTTTATTTTTTATTTTTGAAAGTTCATTTTAAGACATTTGGATTTTTTTGGCTTTTTCTAGAAGGTGAATGCAAGTATGATTTTTGACCTAACTTTCTTAGGTTGGAATACCAATCAATAAAATCACTATATTTTTATATTTTTATGAAAAGGAAAGGAAAGAACTTGACAAACTGAAAATAGCTCAAATGGTTAAGGTACATGTGTCTGACTAGAAGATTATATGAGTTTAACTTTTGTCTATTTTATTTTTAGTCTACCTTCTCCCAAAATAGAAATGTGATTTTTTTACCCTACATTCTCTTTTTTATTTTGTCTTTTTTAATTACTATTTGATCAAAATATACATTTAAAAAATATATGGATCAAACTGAAAGTACCCTAGTCAAAGTAATATTTAAATTTTATTTTTATTTATAAGATTGGGATATAAGCAAAAAATATTATAATATTGTATTTTAATAATATTTTAGAATAAGAATTAAATGGAGATGAAGGGAAATGTTAGTTTTAAAATATTTGAATAAGTAGAAAAAATGTTGAGAAGAGTCAAAACGAGTGAATGAAAATGTCATCCAAACCGAATACTATAAATTAATAAAAAAATAATTTATCACTTCCACTTCTAATCCATTTCTCTTTTTAATTAATGGATAGAAATTTTCTTTCCCTCTAATTGGAGGAAGAAGAGAAAGCAAACTACATAACATAAAAAACAAACCAACAATCTTAGAAAGTAACGCTAGGACTTCTTCAATCCACACGTGATTCAAATATCTTGTGAGAGCAACTCGAATCAGTTGATGCATTGACCATTACCCTCATGATAAGTGAAGCTAAAGGAGATGAAGCCTGAAGAAGAGCACTAGTTATGACCTGCAAGCAGTAAACCCACCTTTGAGAACCCGTTTTTGCAAAGGACAAATTTGCAATAACTTGTCTTGCCTTCGTTTTCAGCTCCCTAAAGAATACAAGACAATCTACACAACAGAGAAAAAAGTAGCGAGAGAGAACTATCACTACAAGAATTTTGACTTCTGGTGGCGAAACATTTGACGACGATCAGTAAATTGGTCGCAAAAGGTACCTTTGGCGACGAAAGATAATTTCATCGTCATATCCATTCCTTTCGACAACGAAAGCTAATTTCGTCATCAAAAGACAAGACATTTGGAGACGGAAAAACCTTTGGTGACGAAATTGGAGCCTTTAGCGACGAATCGCGTTGTTGTCAAAACCTGAAATTCTTGTCGTGTCGTTGCCAAAACCTAAAATTCTTGTAGTGCATCCTTAAAAATTACGTCATCATTCTTATCAAAATTTCAAAATTCTCACTTCGAACACCAATTAAATTTTGTTACATGTTTACCTTAAAAAAATGTTACAATGTTTGACGGTCGAAAAGACAATCTACTCTTCATCTAAAGTAATTTACTTTGGTCCATGCAACTTTCAAAACTTTAATTTTATTGCTTTCACATATATTATTTTAAAATGTTATAAAATCAAACAATTATTGAAATTCGAATATATTGTAATTTGAAAAGGATATAATTTCGAAGTTTCGAAGCGGTGTTGAAGTGAAAATTGAAAATAGTATTTGAAAAAGAATTCACCCAAACAAAAGTGGTAGAAAATAATTAAAAAAAGACACAAGAGATTCAATTATTTATTCTGAATTTCTGTTGATGATGAATTTTCGCAGGTTTTGCCGGACCAGAAGACTGTTGATTACCTGAATTAGCTCGTGATTGTATTTTCTGTTCTCTGAGCTTCCTTTTAATGATGTAACTTCATTTTATTATTTATATTTATACTTACTGCCAATACTACTATAATACGGGATGGTTGAGAAATTTGGCGAAAATTTAAAGATTTGAAAAAAAAAAATCATAAATAGATAAAGTTTGATTGTTATGGTCAAACTTAAAAATATTAAAGGATCAAAAGGTCAAAAGTTCAGGTATTATAATAGCAATACTATATTGAGACCAACCGATTAAGAGGTTGTGAGTTCTTGTCAAATTGAGCTTAGGTCAGCGGCAATTAACATCGATCATTCACCCTATATGTTGTACTTATAAAAACTAATTTTCTTTTTTTTTTATTATTATATATTTGCGTGTATATAAGTATACATGGTTTCTAAAATTCCTTATTTAAGAGCCAATGGTATATTGTTGTCCCGTAATAACGAACTTGTTTATGTTAAAATAGATGAATTTAGTGTAAAAGACAACCAAACTTTTTTAAAAAGAGTATCAATATTGTGTAAGGTTCATTTTGGTCCATCTAGTTACTAAATTTTTATTTTAGTCTTTTTGTACTTTTAATTTTTGTTCATTTAGTTATTGTATTTTCAGATTTTTTTTTCCATTTGATCTCTATTTGTAAAACTTGTGCACACAATTTATACACAATAAAAATTATTTAACATAAATTTATGGCTACATCTCAACCAATTATAGCCTGTTTGATAATGATTTTCTTTATTGTTTATCGATTTTAATTTTATTAAGAAATCTAAGTATTTAACAATTATTTATTTATGTTTCTTGTTTCTTATTTTTTAAAACATTATCAAAATTGTATATAAATTTCGAAAACTTCTTATTACAATTCCCAATTGGAAAAAAACTTGCCTCCTGCCTGAACATTCAAGACCACTATCCTCTGATTGTGGCATGGCCTGATAAGAAATTGACATGTGTTGTTTTCATATTTTTTTTATTATTTTATTAAAATTCAAATTTCATGCATATTTATCAATATCTCTTCAATGGCTCTTTTACTTTTTTTTTTTCTTTTTTCAAAATGTATTTGACGTTTCTCTTCCCTCTTCTCACTCCCTAAAATCTCTCACCTCCCACTTTTCTCTCTACGCATCTCCTCCACTCTTCCACAACTAAGTTACATAATGAAAATTAAAGGTACACAATCTTGGTTTGTTTTTTATTTTTCTTTTATGATTTTGTTCTCATCTTTAAAATAAAATAATACATATGTTTTCAGCAGTTTTTTAGTTTTCTTGAACATGCTCAAATTTTTTTAAACCAATAAATGATATTTACAATATTTGTGAATCTACAAGCTTAGTTATATTTATTTTTGTAGAAAACTGGTCAAATAAAAATGAAAGACATGCTTGAGAGATTTAGTAAGGAGAAACATCAAATACGTTTTGAAATAAGAAAAAGTAAAAAAAAAAATGTAAAAGAGATGTTGAAGAGATATTGAGGAGATCATGAAATTTGAAGTTGAATAGAATAATAAAAAAATATGAAAGCAACAAATGTCAATTTTTTATTGGACCATGCCATGATCAGGAGGATGATGGTCCTGAACGTTGCAAGTTTTTTCCTTCCCAATTTGTTTCAACATAAATAAAAATTTTGTTTTATCATTATTGCATTCATAGGTGTTGGAGGTCATGCAATTATATTTTCCTTTACTAAAAAAGATAAAACAAAAACAAAAAACAAGAACCTTACTAAATGAGTTCCAATTGAAATGTCATGCAAATGATCGAAACGGATGCGATAAAAATAAAAGTAAAAATATTAAAATGATAACTTTGTTAGAAAATATAGACATCAAAATAGCCTTTTAAAAATGTTTGGTCCGAAATAAATAAAAATTGAAAGTATTAATTTGATATAAGCTATAACATGGATTGAAATGTATCAAAATAGTAAAAAAGGAAAAAATATCAAAACCAAACAAAAGTAAAAAAAAAAAATCTCAGAAGTATATTTTAACACATTACCTCACTGCAGGTCAGATTTTTGCGACAGTCGCGTCCTTTTCTGTTGTAAAGCGCTCCACGGCCAAAACACAGTAAAAAAAAAAAGTCATTTTACAGCGAGTAGCGAGCCCCATATTTCAAAAACAAAACAATTCTAGAAGGTACCCCACGAGAGGGAAAAGCACGGTCCAGATGATCTTTAATGAGAATCCAACGGCCAATAAAATCGCGTTGCTTCAAAGCCAGTGGGGGTTTACCTTATAAACCCCAAACGGGTTTATGACCTAAATCGCCGATACCCTTCTCTCTCCCGTCGCTCTCGCTTCCCATTTCCAGTCTCCGACGCGATTCAATGGTGAGTTTCTGTTCTTCTTTAAGTTTCATGATCTTTTGCAGTTTAGCGGTTTTGTGATCCATTTTGAATTTCACCTGGTTACGTTTTATTTTGTTGCCAATTTTTGTAGGCTTTGCCGGATCAGAAGACTGTTGATTATCCCAGCTTTAAGCTCGTGATCGTTGGCGATGGTGGCACTGGTATTTCCTTATTTCTTAGTTTCCTTTTAGAACAATTTTCTCTGTGCTGTATGTATCACATCTTGAGAGCTGGATATTTAGTCGATGCATTAGGGATAATGGTCCTTTCTAGGCATTATTTTTTTTGATTACGCGAAATGAACGAAACTTGTTTCTGATTCATAAGGTGATTCAGTGCTGGAGGGTAACAATTGATTGATAAGAAAAGAAAAAAAAAAATAATGGGAGAGAGAGGGAGATGGAAGATCAAGCTTAAGTGAATGGGATTCTGTCTATACAGTTTGAAATCAGTGGCTCATCCCTCTCTAATTTTATAGATATATGTTATTTGAGATCTAAATGGGGTTTACCCATATTAGTCTCTCTTATGTTACCGACAGCATTGTCCCAGAAAGATGATTGCGTCTCTTGATTTGTTGTATGTCTGTTTTTCGATCTCTCTGCTCACGCATGTTCCTGACAATGTGTCCAGTTTTCTTGAGTTCTCAATAGTGGTTAGCTCTAAAAAGTCATGGAATTAGATCGTAATTGTGGATGTCAGACTGTCACTTAACGAATCAAGATGAAATAACCATGGAATCAAAATGAAAGAAGAGATCATACATAAGCATGCAAGATGAATTCTTTCTAATACCTTTTTAGGACTTGATATTGAGTGCATAATAACTGATTTGTGTATATTTGTTGCTCAGGAAAGACTACTTTTGTGAAGAGACATCTCACTGGGGAGTTTGAAAAGAAATATGAACGTAAGAGTTTTGGCAATTTGTTTTTCAATTTGATGGCTTATTCTGTTGATTTTGTGGCTGTATTTTCTATTGCATTCATTATTATGTGTTTCTTTTGAAATCAGCAACCATTGGTGTGGAGGTGCACCCACTGGACTTCTTCACTAACTGTGGAAAAATTAGATTTTACTGCTGGGACACTGCTGGGCAGGAGAAGTTTGGTGGTTTGCGTGATGGTTACTAGTAAGTTAAAGTGGGCAATGAAAGCCTTGATTCTTTTGGGTGTATTTTATATGCTTGTATATTCACAGTTAAACTCAGTCGAACAATTTCTTGAATTTTCAATACTCTTGTACATCTGATCTGTTAGATTCATTTACGACTCGTATTCTCAGATTTACTCTCAGTCTTTTCCTGTTATGATGTGCCAATTGATGCTATTATTTTCCATGACAACAGACTTCTGTTTCCCCTCACGACCTTCTATATTGAATTTTCTCCTGCTATTTTCAAAACTCTTAATTTTATTTTATTTTATCCATTATTGCAGCATCCATGGGCAATGTGCAATCATCATGTTTGATGTTACTGCAAGATTGACATACAAGAACGTTCCTACATGGCACCGTGATCTTTGCAGGTGAATGAAACATTTCTTCGTATACAAACTTGTTTATACAAGAATGAATTGTTGTGCCATTGTGATCACACCATCCGGAAGTTACTTACCATTAGATGACTTCATTAAATTGCAGGGTGTGTGAGAATATCCCAATTGTCCTTTGTGGAAACAAGGTTGATGTGAAAAACAGGCAGGTTAAGGCCAAGCAGGTCACATTCCACAGGAAGAAGAACCTACAATACTATGAAATATCCGCAAAGAGTAACTACAACTTCGAGAAACCATTCCTGTACCTGGCCAGGAAGTTAGCTGGGTAAATTCAGTTCCCTGTTTGCTTGATTTAATCTTCAATTCCCTGGCCATGAACATTTCATTACAAAATTGGTTTTCTTTTCTTATGGATGGGTACATCTATGTAGGGATGCTAACATTCATTTTGTGGAGTCTCCTGCACTTGCTCCTCCAGAAGTACACATTGACTTGGCTGCCCAGCAACAGTGAGACTTTCTCATCATAACTCAATTCAATGAACCATTGTCATCTTTTCGAGTAATCCGCATTCACATACTGCTTGTTTTCTGCAGGCATGAAGCTGAGTTGCTGGCAGCTGCCAGCCAACCTCTGCCAGATGACGACGACGACGCCTTTGAGTAGAGACCGCAGTTGATTATCATCTGTTGATGCTCTTTTCCAGATATCTTTATTTTCTCCATTTTCCCCCAGGGTGAGACTTTATTGCTAGGATTGACAGGAGGCAATAGATGGGGTGGATGTTGCTATGGAATAGAGATTTGAGTTTTGAAAACGTCAAGTTTTCCCGGAACATTTGAAAAAAAAAATGTGGTGTTGATGATGATTGGGTTATGTGAATTGTGAGCGAGTTGTGTGAATTGATTAATGTAATCGTGTGGATTAATGGTCGCCACTGGGCGGCGGCCAAATTTCTCCATTAAATGTGTTGCGGTATTTGAGTTGAGTTAATTCCTTTCTTCAATCTTATTTAGCTTTCTTGGGATTCTTTTGAGTTGAATTGTTTACGTCTCTGTTCTGTTGGCATCGTGTAGGCATGACAAAAATATTAAATTTCTATAAATTAACTGATGCATTAAATTATATTCAACAAAAATATTAAATAAATGGTTAATTAGTATTATTGAAATCAGCGATTTTTTTATTACATTGTTACCAGGTCATATCATGATCTTTCATTTTTAAGCATCTTAGAAAATATTTTATCTAATTATTAGTGCAGAATAAATAACTATGCTGTTATATTTTAAAATATATAATCTAAACTTCTAGTAAAGAAGGAGTACATGACATAATAAAAAAGAAGATTTGAAATCAAATGTGAATTTAGAATTTGCTTTTCCTTTTAAAAAGTGTAGAATTAAATAATCAGATATCTTTTCATTTATAGTCAACAATCAAATAGAATCTTCTGATCATCACATCCATTTTAAATCTTTTCATTTCCATTAAAATAATTTTTAAACTCATTTTAGTTTTGAAACAATGACATTCAAAACTATATTTTATGTGTTTCATAAATGAGCTGAAATATTTAGTTTAAAAGTAAATAATTTCCGAAAAAAGAAAAAGAGGTTATTTCTCAGAATAGAAATTAGAAACAAAGGTTATTTATTTGATAAAAGAAAAGAAAGAGAAGGGTGGAAGGGGAAAAGCGAGGGCGGAGATTGATCCAATTGAAAATCTAACGGCTGAGAGAGAAGCGTGAATTTGAAGCCAGCAGCGGCTTACCTTATAAAAACCCCAAACGGGTCTAACCTAAATCGCCGATACCAATCTCTCTCTCTCTCTGGATTCTCTTTCTCACTCCGCGCATTTCAATGGTAACTCTCTTCTCTTAATTTACTGATTAGCTTTCAAGATTTTGCTCATTTCTCATTGCCTTTCTGAATATGATTTGTTCTTTTTTCTGTCTTCTTGTTTTTAATTTCTTAGGCTTTGCCGGACCAGAAGACTGTTGATTACCCCAGCTTCAAGCTCGTCATTGTTGGCGATGGCGGCACTGGTATTTTCTAATTTCTGAGTTCTTTTTTTTTCTCTCTTGAAACTATGTATGTTGTGGTCAATGTAATGTAATCGTATGGTGAGAGCTGGATTCTTGGTGGATTATTCTGGGGAAAATGGTCATTACTGGGCGATGTTATCTTTGAGTTGGAAGTAGGAAAAAATAGAATGAAACTTAGCACTAAGCTATTGGCGGGTTGTCAGGGGAAAAAATGAAAACCAGGGTGCATTCTTTTGAGAAAAGACCTATCAATGATTTATTGGGGTAATAGATCTTGGCTGGATTTCATTAGTAATCATGCTTAGAGTTAAGGAGAACCAAACCGTATCTTGCGACACTTGAAAAGATGAAAAGAAGGAAAGGAAGGGGGGGGGGGGGGCGAGAGAGAGGAGATCGGTTTGATGTTAATTGCTCTACCCTCTTTGGTAGTAAGGAATTAGGATAAATTCTTGTTCTAATGCATTTAACCCACCCGAGCTTTATGTTATTGACGATGGCATTATTACGAAAAGAAAAAAGATTGTCACTCTCTCTCATGTTTGTTTAGTTTATCTGGATGAGTGTCAGTTGTCGCTTCTTGTGAGTTTAAAGGGGTTTCACTGGTCAAGATGAATTCTTTTAGTATCTAAGAAGACTGAAAGTGAGACACCATTGACTCGAATGTGTTTGCTTCCAGGAAAAACAACCTTTGTGAAGAGACATCTCACTGGTGAATTTGAAAAGAAATATGAACGTAAGGCTTCAGTTGTTATTGCATTTTATTTCTTGTCTACTTCACCACTTGGTTGTTTATTTCATCCTTTTGTATTTTTTATGATATTAGCAACCATTGGTGTGGAGGTCCACCCACTGGACTTCTTCACAAACTGTGGAAAGATCAGATTTTACTGCTGGGACACTGCCGGACAGGAGAAGTTTGGTGGTCTTCGTGATGGTTACTAGTAAGTCAAAATAATAAGAGCTTTGATTTGAATAGACATGTGCAATATTTTCCAAACATGAATTAATGAAGTATCATACATGTCGCATGTACTATATTTTAGTGCACACTTGACCCAATCAATCCATGCAGATGTTTTATATTTCTGCCGAGTCCTTTCTTGTTATGACTTGGATGAATGCTTTTTTCACACATCTAACTTCAATTTCCCCTTTTGATATTCTGTAATGAGTTTCCTTCATGTTATTGTCAATTCCCAACCTTTTCTTTTTTCTAATATTAATGATTGCAGCATCCATGGACAATGTGCAATCATCATGTTTGACGTTACTGCCCGATTAACCTACAAAAATGTTCCTACATGGCACCGTGATCTTTGCAGGTGACACGACATTTGTTTATGATCAAATTATTACATTGTCATGGCTCCTCCGAAGATAAGTCATTTTATATGACTTGACTTCTTACTTTGCAGGGTGTGTGAGAATATTCCTATTGTTCTTTGTGGAAACAAGGTTGATGTAAAAAATAGGCAGGTTAAGGCAAAGCAGGTCACATTCCACAGAAAGAAGAATCTTCAATACTATGAGATATCTGCAAAGAGTAACTACAACTTTGAGAAACCGTTTCTGTACCTAGCCAGAAAATTAGCCGGGTAATTTGATATTCTATGTAGATGATTTTATGTTTTCTATCTATGTGATCGATGTAGACAATTGACCTCCCTTCTCTTTTGGTGCTTCCAGAGATGCTAACATTCATTTTGTGGAGTCTCCTGCACTCGCTCCTCCAGAAGTACACATTGACTTGGCTGCTCAGCAACAGTGAGACTTTCTCATCATAAGACATAACTAATGAACCATTGATATTCTTTTGAGTATCCATTTTCATATGTTGCTTGTTTTCCGCAGGCATGAAGCTGAGTTGATTGCAGCTGCCAGTCAACCTCTGCCAGATGACGATGATGATGCTTTTGAGTAGATACAACCTCGATCCTTTGGTGACACTCTTTTACATCTCTTTGTTTTCTCTTTTTCCCTCCTAGTAATATGCTCTGCTTCAAAGATCGACAGAAGCCAATACGGGTGCAGGATGTGACTGTGGATAGACTTAAGTTTGGTAGACATTAAAGCTTCAGTGGAACTAAAAAATGGTGTTAATGGTCGTTTTGTCTGAGTTCTGTATCGATTATCAGGCACATGGCCTCCTCCATTAAAAGTTTATTATGCAGAACTTCTCCATTATATGCTACTCTATTCGAGTTGATTATTTCCTTTTTGAAGATGAACTCTGTTTAGTATTCTGGGAATTCTCTTATGATGACGTAGGCATGGTTCTGCTTCTTAATGATATGTTTCTAAAATAGTAGAAGTTGAATATTTAGATATGATAATTTCTTATAGGGGGTGGTCTTGACTCTTGACTATCCTGGAAATACAAAACCATTGAAGCAAAATCCAAAAGACTGAATAATGTAATCTGATAATAGTTTGTGTCAATTATCTAGAGGTTTGAGCTCTAAAAAAGAATCTTGAATTAATTGAATCTGCATACTGAGCTCATGCGTACATGTGTGGTTCTTTATATATTCAAAAGTTTGATGCCAGCTATGTTTTCATCACAGGCTAAAACATGCCAATTTCCGATGTATTTACTTCACTGTTTTCCTATTAATTACTGTAGTCTTTTGGAAATTCCAATATTTCAAGAGTTTCTATAATATTTGATGTGAAGATGACATTGACGGTAGGCTAGTGGTAGGCTAGGCGGGTGCTGTACTTGGGTTGGGCCTAATCCATGCATGAGCTGATGAGTAGACATTTATAGTGGGCTAAATAGTCCAAATATATCTGCACATTGCACAAATTCAATTCGACCCAAATTAAATGATTTCATTCAGGTCAATTTCTTCTTGCTCTCAAAGATGAATGGATCCTTCTTTCCATCAAATTTAATGCTGAAATTGGAGCCACAAAGTTTTCCTCAAAAGGATTGATTGGTGCCAAGAAATAAACTTTTTCAAGTTATTAAATTACTGCCAAATTTGATATGCTTAAGTGGATGATGGAATGTTAAACTACAGTTGCATATTAAGCTTTATTTGCTTTGACAAATGTAAAAGAACATTAGGCCACTTTCATGAACACAGCTTAAATATGGCCACTGACCCAAAATTGCCTCCAGACAATTGCACCTGTGCAAGCCTGGCTTTCACTTAGCCCCATGGTTGTAAAAACAAGTAGCTGCCTCTCAATTCTTCCTTGTATTTCCCATCGCATTAGGACTTGTCTTTATCCATGTCGGTCTACACTATGGTTCTCTCATCATCATCATTCATCTCCCAACGAGAAATAGAATCCTTTGTTTGGATCCCATTTGTTAATTTGAATTTTTTTAGCTCTGATACTATATCAAAATTTACGGAGTTACATCTCAAAATTAATTGACATTGAGAGGAATAATCAGTCCTTAACATCATTTTCCAAAAAATAGAAGAACCGAGTAAGATAGCATAAAGATTAACAATAGCACATCGATTTGAACCAAAAGTAAGGCACGTGGGAAGTGACACCGGAGCCCCGCCGGCATGTCGAGGAACTGTGGGGCGCCTTCTAAAACGACTGTGTCCCGGCGGCGGGGCCTGCTTCTCAAAATTAGCACCAATTCAGCCTCCAAGAAGCAGCAAAAGATCGAGTGGCCTCTTCAGTGTCGGTTGGTGGTCGACTGGGCCCAATTTGGGTCACACATTAATCCCTTTCCCATTTCTTCCATCTTTTTCCAAACACTCTGTCTCGTCTGCTCTCTGTTTTTCTTTCCTCAGCGTTTATGGGAAATGGGTCCTCTCACTCTGCAGAATTGTTTAATTCAATTGAATTTAATGGTGTATCTTCAAATCTCTGCTCCCAACAGACAGACTGCCACTTTCATGATACAACAAAACTCAGATTCTGGCTCCTCCATTTAAGATGCAAACCAAACCAAAACCAAAAGGGATGTGTGAAATTGTGAATGAGATTCATTTATTAGCTTCAAAACTCAATAAGGGGGCGAGGAATGGCCAATGGGGTTACTGATTAAAAAGACTGCGACTTTACACAATACATTACTGCCCCATCATCATGTGAAGGCTACAAACAAACAAAACCCCAAATGAATTTAGAACCATTTTCGTTTCACGTAAACTGGAAACAGGACATGTTCTGCAAAACCAACCATCTGTCTCTAAGCATATACGAAGAGAAGCATCAAATTGGAACCACCTGTCTCTGTCTCTGCCATTTGGGTTTTGTTTCTCAGGAAAATTTTTCTCAAAAGTTTCCACTTTCATTTCAATTATCAACCACTGGTAGGTTGGTTAAAAACTTGAAAGATTGGAATGACGATGATGATCTGGATTCTCATGCTCTTTCTGAAACAAAAGAAAAAGAGTACTGGTTTTTCTTTTCAGGTCCAAAACATGAAATTGGAAGGCTTTTGGCATTGTCCTGTTTTCCCCATGAGATTATTATGGTTTGTGTTTATATCCACTTTGATTGTCAAGTTACAGTCCTTGCCATTTCAAAACCTTCTCATTTTCCCATGTCAGCTCAATTCAAGTTCCTTTTTTTTTTTTTTGGTTTTGGGGCTGAGGAGAGTGAGGTAGTCAAAAGTACAAATGATTAAAAAAGGACAGTGAGACAGTTGGAAGATGGACATAAATAGACAAATATGGTTTCAGAGGAACAATTCATATATGCTGTGCAAAATTGTAGCACCATCTTCTGCTCCCTTTTTTGTTTCTCTGCAACATTTTAGTTATATAATAGAGTGAGAAATTACATAATTTTTTTTTAATTTTTGATTGGGAAAGTGGGGGAAGAGGAAGAAGCAGTGATGATAGTTTTGCTCATAGATGGCAGTGAAAGAAAGCCTGAAATTCAGAGAGAGAGAGAGAGAGAGAGATTTTAACTGAAAAAGTGAAAACAGAGAGGCTCCAATTCCAATGGAAGATGGCTGTGGGAATAGTACGGATTAATGCATTTGTCTGTCTCTGTTTTTTTTTTTCTATTATTTAAAAAAAAAAAACATTATCAGTGTCAGAGTTTGTTATGTTTGGCACAAAAAGACAACTTGTCATTCGTTCTTTCTTATATACATTTTTCTCTCTGTCTATTTTTTCCCTTCCATTCCCAAGAATATCAAACTTCCTTCTTTTATCTCTATATATTTTTTTCATTCATTTCATCACATTTGGTCAGTTGAATTTATTTTGGTTAACTTAATACTTAAATGCCGGTTTGATATTTCTATTTTGTTTTCTATTATTAAAATACAAAGCTCATATATGCTTGATAACTGTTTTTTATTATTCACTATTATAAATAATTGGTTTTTGAAAGAGGTTTAATATTTTATTCATAATTATTTAGTAAAATATTCAATAAAATATATATTAATTATCTAAAAAACAAAATCGGGGATGGACTTGGAACAAAGCAGTAAATAAATTTCACGTTTTTAGAGCAGGGACCCAATCCCGTGGTAATTATTGTTGTTCTTAATGTAGAGAAATAAAAACAAAAGTTTCGAGAGATAAAAAGGAAAGTTTTTAAAGACATTTTAGAGAGTTAAAGAAAATATTTTGAAAAATAGAAATTTGGTTTTAAAAACTACTTTGTTTTTTTTTTAAATTAGAACTTCAAACACGTTTTAACATTTAAAATGGTTATCAATCAATACTGTTTTTCAAAAACCAAATTTCAAAAACAAAAAACAAAAAAGGAGAAGGTTATCAAACAGCCCAAAAATAGCAATTTTTGAAAGGTTGGAATTAAAATAAAGTTAACCTTATAGATTAGAAATTGAAATTGACTTCTTAAGAACAAGGTATTAAACGTTGAAGTTGATAGAAAATATTGATAAAATAACGTCAACGATATTTAAAAAAAATAATAAAAACAAATATTTAAATTGACAAGTAAGTCTTTTACCATTTTTAAATAAGTAAAATATTATCAATTTTAACATTAGGTCTATATTAGTGATACTATGTTATTTTTGTAATATTATAGAAATATTGATTGGTCCCTTGCGTTGACGTCGAACTCATAGATATATAAAAATATTGACTTGAAATTTAATACCATGTTTACGAATTCATAAACTACTGTGTAATAAAATTGAAAGTTTTAAGAAAGAAATTTAAACCTTTTTCATTCTTTCTCCCCTAAAAAAGACTTGTGGAAATTTAAGAAAATGATTCTCATTCCTCCATTTTTTACTATATCAAAATTACTTACTATGACCTTGTTTCATGATTTAGGCTACTTTTATATCTTTTTAAAACCTAATAATCAATTAAAAGAATTGTAGTCCATTTTGTTACCATTTTGAGCTATGTAAAAGCCTATTTTATTTATTTATTTTTATTAAAATTAAAAATATAATTGGCCAAAAAGTCACTTATCACTTTCAAAGGTAACATGATTCTATTGTACTCTTTCTTTGATGCATAATTTCCTTTTATTATTTACGATTCACTGTATCCCACAAACAAAAGTTAAGGAAAATATATATAGATCTTTAATTATATATATATATATATATATATTTTAATGAAAAACCCTTATAGAAAGTTAATATAACGATGATTTAAATTGAGTAGACTGTTGATTAATATTGACTCATTAAATTGATGTTTTGAAAGTTTTTGAAAGTTAAAAAGCTAAAAACCACATAGGCTTAAACATTTGTTTTACTCTTTTTGTTAGGTCTGTCACTTTTCAAATCACAATTAAAAGAGAGATAACTTTTAATAATTAAATTTATATTTAATTGATGAATACTAACTTTTTGGCCCACTTGCTTTCTTAGCTACTCCATGCCTACCTTACCTTAGATTCCCCACAATTAAATAATTAAATAATCAAATCTTTAATCTTAATAATGGTTAGAAAATCTCTATTATCTTTTTCAATCCCTCGTGCTTTCTAAAGCTAAAAAGGTATCAACAATCTATCCATCTTTGATTTGACCAAATTATGACATTGTTTTAAATAAGATTACATTTTATAATTGATTGAATTAATTAAGTAAAGTATGTATGACATTTTATAAACACAAAAAAAAAAGTAAAAAATTCCAATCTCAATTGAAGTTTAGCAACGATTAATCAAAAGTTAATTGACAAACCTGAACATAGTTCAATTAGTTAAGTCACAAATACCAAATTGCATTAATTTATTCGTATTTACGTTTATTTAAAACAAATTTGGAACTTGAGTAATTGTGAGATCTTAATTTATGTTTTATAGTACAAAATTTGATGGTTAAAACTGATATAATTTACTTTATATCACAAATTTTTT